ATGTACCGTGACAAAAGGTCCAATGTTTTCCCTGTTTGAGGAGGAGGGATGCGTTATTTGGGAGAAAAATGAACCAAATTTGTGGAGCTAGGACTGGAGCTGACTTTCAAACAATGCATAGAGAAACAAGAAGCTTCTTTAAGCCCTGTAACTTCATGGCCTTGTGACACTATTAGTCCATCAATGTCGAAAGATCTTGCCAGAGGGATGCTTACTAAACAGTGACTTTGGCACAACATCTCTCTCTGGAGAGATGCTCACAGCACGGAACAGCTGTAGCAGTAACTCCAACATGGCTTGCCTTTTGGAGTCTGCCTCATTCAGGAGAAGCAGGAAAAGGTCAGTAACGCTTTCCTCAAGGGTTGGGAGCTGGGTGTAGCTGTTTCATCCCTGGTGGGCTGAGGGTGGCTTCTTAAATTTTAGACTCTAAGCTACAGAACAAACAGCCTTATGTTTGCTAACATTACTGGGAGGCCAGGATGTTAAATGTTGGATTCTATTCAGTTTGGTTTCCAGACACAGCCTGAAACCTCTGAGCATTGTGTCTGCAATGGCAACAATGAGAAACACTTGTGAAACTGGCCATTTTCTCAATTAACAGCCATCTAGCTTCATGTATACAGGTGTCTGATTAAGTAGTAAGTCTGTGTGAACTTTGTTCATCTGGCTGTTTTCTCCTCCATCTGAGATGGAAGAGAAGGTATGGGGAGATCCTGCTAGGAAAATTTTGTAGCTTAATGCTTCAGCAGTGCAAGGATACTTTCATTCCCATGAAAAGCACCCACTTGAGCTTTAACATATACACACTGACTTCACAGCATCAAATTGCGTATCTTATTTTCCTTAAGTTTCCTGAGCCATGGCAAGCTGTCTGTCTGCTCAACAGCTAATGACTTCTGCAGGTGCTCATAAGCTGATGTAGGACACTGCTGGGTTTGGACAAATGCTGCTGTCACAGTAACAAGCTGATATGAGGTGAAGGAAAGCGCATCAAAAAGCACTCTTCTGTTGTAGGGGAAGAGATATCTGGTTCCGAGACCAGTGATTCTGAAGAGGAGGATGAAGATGACGATGGGGAGATTGGAGAGGATGGGGAGAAGCGGAAGAAACGGCGGGGTAAGGCCGTAGAGAATCCTGTCAGTGCCACCAATCTCCTCAACCAGCAGCTGGTGTCAGAAACTATAGCCAGAGCAAGGCGGGGAAAAGTAGAGTTGTAGAGCTGCCCTACTGCCGCTGCAATTATCATGCCTCTCCTAGAAACGAAGCTATTTGGTGCCGTCTCCGTAGATGGACAGCTCTGAACCTGTGTAGTATCTGCTTCCACTTGGGTAGTTGTGCTTGTGGTAACACCCTCTTTTGTGGTGGCTCCCTGGTTGCCGCAAGGTGGCTGTGTATGGCTTGTGACTGGTGGTGTGGAACTTCCCCTGCTCACAGAGGTGGGAGGAAGAAGACACCAGAGATCAATGGTAGGCAGATGCAGGTTTTTATAACCATGGGAATGGTTGGAGGGGGATTTTGGCTGTGGTTTAGGCAAAGGATTCATCTGTCTTATGGATGTTCAGTAACTGACTCTTCTGGTGTCCTATTTTATGTTGATAGAGCAAAAAGTTGACCTTTGGGTGTCTTTGTGCAAGCCGAAAAGCTGAATGGGAGCTGCACATCCCTTGCTTGGGAGCACTCTGGAAAGCCCATGGTGAAGTTTGCTTTGTGTTAAACTACACCAGTGTTAAACTACTGTGTAACATCTAAACCCCAAGGGATGTTGCTGAGCCTAGAATTGCAGGTCGTTGTGTACTATGGGATGCTGTGGCTTCCAGGGAGCTTGCTATGCCCCTAGAACCTCTCTGATGTTTCTTCATGGGGAGTAGAGAAGTCAAGCTCAACTTCCAGCTTCTCTAGTAAACTAATTTTGACATTCAAACTGCCTTCCTGTCCTGAAGCTCCCATATCTGTTAAAAAAATTCCTGTTAAAGCATTCCTGGTTTAGATGCACTCTCTTCATTTTGTTATCTGTCCAAGTAGAGTCGTAAATGACCTTTGTCGTGCCTTTGGTAGTTGTAACAACTTCATTTTTCACCTTTTGGTAATTTCTAGAAGCAAAAAGATTGACCACTGTCTCCATCAAGAACCAAGTCCCGCCCAAATCTCCTCCCAAGAGGAGACCACCTTCAAAATGCTGCTTGAAAGGAGTAGAGGGCAAATAACTGTGACTTACTCAACTTCCAAACAAGCTACTCTAAGTTCTCTAAGTAAGGGTGCTGCTCAGCAGGAGTACGCATAGTAACTGTCCCCATGTAAGCTGATTCTGCCTTCCAGGGGGAAAAGTGCACGTTGCTGTGTACATAAGACTGGAAAGGACTCCTGGTCACTGAATCCTCTGCTACTGCAGATATCCACAGCCTTCTCCACTATGATCTGGTTTTCTGTGCTGTTGTTGCTTGAACTGGAAAGCTGCCTTGGCATGTTGTTTTAAGCTGTAGGCTGGTTAAGATGGGTTTTAACTGAAGTGTCTTTCTGAGCATGCTATTTTGTGCTGGGAAATGGTGGCTTTGCAAGCTGAGTCTGGGAGGGATCCTAGCAAATGCTTCCTGATGGGAACTTGTGCCTTTTTGAACTAGGTTGCTGGCCCTTCTGGGTTTCTTTCCTTTAGAACTAACTTCCCATCTGCATGTTTCTTCCTCTCTGGGTTTTTCTGTGGGACGCATTTCTGTTTTCCAGGCAGTAGCAGCAGCAGTAGTTCAGACTCCACATGCTCTGTCATAGAGAAACCTCTGGATAAGTCCTTCACTAGTGAGTGGGAGCTCTTAAGTCCTTTAAGCTTTGGCCTTCCCATAATCTGCACACTCCATTTTGCAATGCTGCACTCTTCCCCGCTATGTCCGTTGGAAAGATAAACCTGAACTTTTAATTCTGCTAAAGCATGCCTTTCCTTTGCTGCTTCCATGCTTGAAACAGTTGTTTAATGTGCGCATTGTTAGCCAGATATGTGAGAGAACAGGAAGCAATTTAGTATGCTCCTTGAGCAAGATTTAAAGACAATTGATAAATAATAAGTTAAAAAAAAGTTTGCAACTCCAGTGTTAAGTGCTCCCTCTGAAATATCAGGAAAAAAGTCTGAGCTAACTTTTTAATGGGAGTTGCTACAATATGAGTTCATAAAAAGGACAGCTAGGCAGGTGAAATGGATTGTGCTATATTATATTGGACTCTGCCTTCTCAAAATTAGTTTTGCAGAAAATGAATGGAGCAGTCAATGATCAAACAACAGGAGGTTTATACTTGCAAAGAAAACATGGTAACGCTTGGTTGATTTGCTTTATTTTGGCAGATACTTAAAAAAAATCCTCGGTGGTGGTTGGGGTTTAACTGCCCCATGACATTAAGTTCTTGATCACTGTGGGACTTAGTTCAGAGGAGCGAGAGATCTAGATTTTGGTCTAGCAGCGAGGGAAGTCTGGTCTGCTCCTGGTCAGAGAGGGCTCTGTGCCTTTAAAAACCCTACAATCAATTAGTGATGACTGAAGAAATAAATCACACCTCAGGACTTGGCTTGTAGGGACTTTACCCACTGTTGTGGTTATTCTGAACAGATGCAGTCCACTCTCCTCCCTGAGTGGAGAGAGAGTCTGGAAAGTGTTGCTATATATTTCAGTCACACTTATACTAGTTATGTTAGTGGAAAGCATCAGCTCAGAGAAAGTGTGGTAGTAGGTTAAGAAGGATCACAACCTAGGGGAGACCTTTGGCGGGTCATATGATAGTAGGCTTGGAATCTGCTTGCTTCAAACTTGCTCTTTCAAAGCTTGCTTGAAACCTGAGTATTTTATTTGGATGAGGACAGTTAATAGCAAACTGCTGATGCGGCAGTGGGTGGATGAGTCCATCTCCTGCAAGTCTGGAGACAGCTCTGTTGTGGAAGTTGCACTGGGCTTTTGGTGATTAGGATAAGTGTGACTATATGTGGTTTGGGATATTAACTGTCCTCAAGCGTGACCCTTTTGCATGTGGTGTCTTTCATTATGCCTTTCCTGTCCTGCCTTTTTTGCTGCACTTGCTTGAATAACTGAAACTGGCTCTATACCTCTATGGAAGCATCAGTTACTGCAAATTAACCTACTAACACCCTGTGTAATTAAATGGAGAAACCTTGTGCTGAGACTCCCTATGTGCAACTGTCATATATCTTGCAAAGAATTGGCTTGGAAACTTGGTTAAAACTTAGAACGAGTCTTCTGTATGCTAATATTTTACAGGTAATATGACAGAATTGGCTATCTTGAGCAGGGGGGGAAAGCATTAAGTCTCTTGTCGAAGAAGAAATCTACCCTCTTTAACTGTTTCTTAGGGCATGATGTTTGCGGCAGGCTCATAACGTCACATTTAGATTCTGCATTGCATTGAATGGGCAGAAGAACGCAAGAGTGAGCTGAAGATTATCGTGGATATGCAAAGCACTCTGAAGTACAGAAACTTTCTCTGCTTTAGCATAAAATCACGATGCATTAATGTTTGCTCTAATGGAGTTTTTTTAGTTATTATCCTGTGTTTTCTACTCTAGAAACATGCATATAAAATGAATGCTTGTTCTGATGCTGGTGATCTTTGTCCAAAATTATCAAAGCAATAATATATTTTCTTTCCTCCTCTTTTTATGCATATGCTGCCTCTCTGTGACTTGCTTTCTACTTCCTCTTAATGCAAGATCAAGCAGGTTGGTGTAATTGATTTCCTCCTCCTTATAATAAATTGCAGAGCTTGTGAAAGGGTTTTACAGCTTGGTTTAGTTCACCTTTTTCTCCTAAACTGAGAATATATAGGGATGTGTACTAACAGTAAGAAGCCTTTATCTGGCTATCTCTTTTTATATGATGATCTATGTATAGCACTTTCAGAAAGCTTCTTACTCAGACTAATTAGACACTTTTTCACCGCAGATCCAGAAATAAGTGCTTATTATCTGATTCCTAAGTTTAGCAGATGGAAACTAAGATATGTTTGCTGTAGTGCTGAAGTCCTTACCTTGCCACAAAACTAACTGTATTCTCTTGTGTGCATGAACAAACATGCATACAGATATGAATGTATGTGCATGCACGTTTACAAATACAGTGCATTTTCTGTCTGCTAGTGGTCATATATGTATATAAATAAAACTGAATGCCATGAAGACTGGAGGGAAGGGAAGCCTTTTATTGAACAACATTCTTGAGCACATTCTGACCGTATGCATTATGTCACTGTGAAAACAGTGCCTTGACAGTCGATGGCTTCTTAGTTTCTAGGCATCTGGATTCTATGGGGATTTTTTTTGTCTCGAAGAGGAAAACAAAAAATGAAGGATTCGCTTGTAGTGAATAAAGGGAGATTTAGGACTTGTGGGAGACTTGTGGACTTGAGGAAATGCACATAGGCTGGACTTGAGGAAATGCACATAGGCTGGGTTCTCTCTCAGTCCAAATAACCCCCCCAGGATCTCTGTTCACCTGCCTTAGGCACTCTTGGGATTACAATGAAAGTTGACGGGAGACTTGCGGAGTGATTTCCAAGAGCAGCAGCCTCACACTTTGTTTCAAAATCACAGGTGTTTGGGTCCAGCCCTTGAGGCCGATAGGTTCAATGAGTTGCTGTGGCCACTTCCTTTGTAACCCTCTATGAAGTGTACCTGGTTTGCTGTAATAGTAGTTACTGTGAAGACACGATTGATAAGTCGCAGCCAACCTCAGTACTTTCAAATCTGTGGGTAGTCACTGTTGCATAGATGGAATACCATGAAAAAGTTTCTTTAATTGTCTGGTTTTTTTTCATAGGGCTGTTCTGAATTTCTCTAGTCTGTATTTTCATAGTAGTGCATTCTTAAAATATCTACATGCTGACTTTGCAATAGGTAACCCCGTAAGGAGGACAAAGAACAAGGGGTGTGATGGGGATGCTAATCTGAAATTTGAGTATGTAACTCTTGATAGCTTAGTTCTTGCAGTTGTAGGTCAAGACCAAGGCAGTCTTCTGTTTTCCTTTATTTGGCCTAATCTACAGAGTTAGAACATCTGAGTTTCCAGCTCAGACTTCTCTTTAGGCAGTGTTCCTTCTCCAAGCGTTCTTCATGTGTTTTCTATTTTGGGGGCATTATGTTATAGTGTTAGTTATATAGTGTTCCTTCTCTGTAGGAACTGGTGACAACTGGTCAATGTTAAAATGGGATTTGAAAGACTGAGTTGTGCCCAGCTTGGAGCTGACATCTAATAAATTTATTCTTAAATGCAAGTATTGAATCTGAACTTGGAAAAAATGCTGTGATACAGAGGCTGTCTTATTTTTCTGTGAACTAACTTGTTTTCCCTATCTCTTCCAAAGGCAAAAAGAAGGTTTCCCCTGATAAGATGGTAGAGATGCAAGCAAAGATTGAAGAGGAGAGAAAAGCTCTTGAAACTAAGCTTGATATGGAAGAAGAAGAAAGAAATAAAGCCAGAGCTGAACTGGAGAAGAGAGAAAAAGACTTGCTTAAAGCTCAGTGAGTACCCTGCTCTGAGCAGTTTGTGTGGTCGTGTGGGTTTTTCCTTCCTTAATCTACAACTCAGTTATGGATATCTGGAGATACGTGATGAGGTGCCTGTCAAACTTTGTACAAACTGAACATCAGCTCTTGCTATTATGAAAGTGAACGAGGAGTTTACTCTGCTTTCAGAGTTTAGAGCAGATGGAAAAGACAAATTTTATCCTTTTGCCACTTCTTCTCTTAACTTTATCTAGTTGTGCAAGATAGCCTAGAAACATAAATGAATCCTCCAAACCCTGGAGACCTGTGAAGAGCAGCAATACTGCTGTACTGCTTGGTCAGTGAGCAATAGCTGTGTAGCCAGCCAAGTTTCCTGCAGCACACTGTCACGAGCATGTCGTTTTGGGTGTAGGCGTTCTCAGCTCTGGAGCTGAGAAGCTGCTGAGATCGCACTGTCCCATGCAGATAGGACAGTCCTGCTGTCAGAGGCTGCTCCAACAGCAGCCAGCATTCCTGGTTTGCATCTTGGCTGCTGTGTCTTGATCGCTGTTCGCTCGCTTCCATTTCTGCAGCTGCCTCTGGGCATCACTGTGCTGGCAAGGCCCTCGGGGAAGGGGTGCCTCGGGTAGCCTGGTAATATCACTGGTGCCTTGCAGCCCCTCATAGAGGAGACTTGCAGCAGGAGAGACTTCTGTGCTGACCTGGCTTTGCTTGCGAGAAAGTGATGGGAGCTGGAGCTCGGGGAACTCCCTGCATTCACTTGCATTGCCTCACCCCCACTTAAACCCTTGGCAGCAAGACAAGTTTTTCCAGCCCTGTGAATGCTGTCTGGGCTGTAAAACTGAGCTGGACCTGCTGCCTTGTGAGCACTGTAGGACAGAAAGTTTTTCACTTACCTGTCTCTCTAGACAAGAGCACCAGTCCCTGTTGGAGAAACTGTCTGCATTGGAGAAGAAGGTGATTGTGGGAGGAGTGGACTTGCTGGCAAAAGCAGAGGAGCAAGAGAAGCTTCTAGAAGAATCGAATATGGAACTGGAAGAACGAAGGAAGAGAGCAGAACAGCTTCGCAAGGAGCTTGAGGAGAAGGAGGTGGGGTTATATGATGTAGCTGTCTGAAAACAGCAATGGCAGGATACACCATGTTGTGTGCCTTGGCATTGCTTACGTGGATGAGATGTGCTCTACTCTGAAAGCACAGCAGAAGCTAACCACTTTGGAGGCCACATGTTGGCAGTGCCATCGCTGTGGGTCTGAGCCAGCCTGGCTAAGCCAGGTCTCCGTGCCCTTGGCAAATGCTTTGTTTGGTTCAAGTAGTTTCTCCTTTTGTTCATACTATTGCAGATAGTTTCTTTGATTATGTTAATGTGTGGATGTCTGTGCTAAATGTTGCACACAGCAAGAACGCTTGGACATCGAGGAGAAGTACACCAGCCTCCAGGAAGAAGCACAGGGGAAAACCAAAAAGCTGAAGAAAGTTTGGACCATGCTTATGGCTGCAAAATCGGAGGTTAGTGTCTGAAGTCCTCAGCCTATGATGATGTGAGAGATTATAGCTGGGAAGGGTAAAGCCATCAGCTTACCCTTGTAACACTGGAAAAAGTGCCATATGTTTAGAAATGACTTTGTGCTGTCCATTTGGTTCACATAATTCAAAAAGATCTAACTAAGTCTGGTGTCAGATCTGCACAGGGGCACGTTGTAGAGCTTTTCCCCAGGCCAGGCTGAGGGGGTATGTGTGAGACCCTGAGATATTCAGAACTTCAAGGAAAAACACTGGTTATTTCTGAAACAAAAAAGCTGTTTGCTGGCAGCCTGATCTCCTGCTTTGCAGCAGCCCAGATGTTCCTCTGCTCTTAGCTGTCTGTCCTTTCTGCCTGTTGCCCTTGGTCTCTCTTCCTCAGTCACTGGATCAATGTGTCCTTTGGCTGGTGTCTAGAGTTCCTGTTTCATGAAAAGTGCATTTTGTCTTTGGGATCAGAGATTTTCTTTGAAATCTTGCCAGGGATATAACTTGTCTGCACACTCTTCATCTGCTCTTAGCTGGTGCAGAGCCTGGATTGGCAGAAGGCCAGTTTCGTTTTTATGAAACTGAGAACTTAATGCTATTTTCAGCCATCTCTGAGCTGAAAGGTTTCAGAGGGTTTATTCTTCAGAGATAACTATTCTAGTACTTATAATCAGAGTTTGCTTTTGTTTCCCAAAAACCTTGTGTAGGCAGAAGACTTCTCTTCTAGGCTGTTACCGTGTCTTAAGCTAGCTCTGATGCCTCTCAAATGTCTGGTTTGTCTTCAGATGGCAGATCTGCAGCAAGAGCATCAGAGAGAGATTGAAGGATTACTAGAGAATATTCGGCAGCTGAGCAGGGAACTTCGTCTTCAGATGCTTATCATAGACAACTTCATTCCTCAGGACTACCAGGTAAAGACAAAGAACCGAAGCCTGTGGCGTAGGATTGTGCTATGCACGCTGAGCCCTCTAGCTCTTATTCTGTCCAACAAATGGAATGAGTTGGCTGCTTTTCTCTTCATGAGGTATTCACAGTGAACTCATTGACACTTGCCTGTTAAGTTGTAGCACAAATGAGTTGGTGTGTATTGCTGTGAGCCTTTGTTTGCTGTGGCTCAGCCAAGCAGGTGCAACTTGGTTGCATTCATGTGTTTGTGCCATTATCTGGATTGTTAGAACCAGGTGATGTTAAAGTAGGAAAAGATGCTTTTGTCAAGTGACTCTTGTAACCTGGTGGACTTCTGCTTGAAGTTCAGTTGGAAGGAGATCAGAGTTAGTGGGTGCACTTAGCTCTAAAAGCAGCACAACAATGTGAATAACGAATGCAGAATGGCTTTGTTGTATTTCTCAGGGGTTTCGATAACTTTGGCTACAATTCCATGGTTATGGAATCTATTTTAGGGAAGCAGTGTGTGATGTGGTGGGGGTTGTAAGCAGAGTGATATATTAATCTCAGTTCTCTTGCAGCATGTTTTCCTAATGGCTTAAAAAAAAAAAATCACGTTCACCATGTATTTAACTGGTACATTTGCTGTGTGCCCGTGCTCTGGGTCTGTTCAAAACCTCTTTTTTCCACTGTGCTTGAAGTTGTGCTTGCTGATGTCTGATACTAATAGAAAGTAGTAAGACTGAACTTGGAACTCTTCACTTCTTGTCTTCTTTGTGTCCCCAATGTTCAGAAAATTCATGATAAGCTTAAATATGATGCACACTATTTAATAGAAAATATAAAAGCTATTTCCCTTAATATTTCATTTTTTTCCATATTACAATTTGTTTATTGCTATCCTGATGGCATTGGCATAATGGGAAACCCATGCTTTAGTGGGAACTCCAATGCATTCAATTTGGGAGTGGTATTTTTCTCTTCTGTAGTCTTCAGAATGTGAATAGGGGTTTTTGAACGTAGTATGGCTGTCCTGATAAAAACAACTTTGAACGGTCAAGACTGTTCTTAAGCAGCTTGTCCAGGCCTTTAGGGATGTATGTTCTGGAAAATGCATCTGGAGCGTAGATTGTGCAAGTCTGTAACAACTACTGTTCTAATTTCTTTCTAGGAAATGATTGAAAACTACGTTCACTGGAATGAAGACATTGGAGAGTGGCAGCTGGTAAGCCAGCCGACTGGCTCATGTACGAGCTAATGTTAGCACGAGCTTCCGAGGAGTTTAACTGAGCTCTCAAGTAAACTGATAAAGCTGTAGTCAGTTTTACTGTGCACAGTAGACTTTACTAACAGAGCTTTCTTTCTTTAAGAAATGTGTTGCATATACAGGAAACAATATGAGGAAACAGACGCCTGTCCTGGATAAAAAAGAAAAAGATGTGAGTGACTCTTTATAAGCATGTATTGAATTGCGTAGGTGTAAGTTCTGCTGCCTGTACCTACCACTGCATATTTACAGGGAGACTGTCCAATTTAAATTTTCTTTTGAAGAGAAGTCTTTCTAGTGTTACAAAAGCACCATTGATCAATGTATAAAATGATTCTGATGTTTTTGTTTTGTGGGTTTTTTTGGGTTTTTTAGCCCTTTGAAGTGGACCTTTCCCATGTTTACTTAGCTTACACTGAAGAAAGCTTGAGGCAATCTCTGATGAAGCTGGAGAGGCCGAGGACTTCAAAAGGAAGATCCAGGCCCAAGACGGGTAGAAGGTGAAGAACTTTGGGGTATCTATATGTAATGGGGGATTTACCCAGGGGAAGGTTTAAGTTTGTGCATGCAAACTTACCGTAAGTCTTCAAACACTTGCTTAATGAGAAGACAAAATGCTAAAGTTTTGCACGGTATAAAGTTTACTGGTGCCAAGTGTGACAGAACCGAGTTGAAATTTCTTTACTGCAGTAAAATCTTGTCCAGAAAGGCTTGTCTGGGGATTTTTCTGATGCCCTTTTGCTGCATTTCCCTCTTCCGGCTTCTTGCTTTATTTTACTGTGTTCTGTGGTTCCGTTTGACACATTGACAGTGCATATACTGTTATTACTGGAAAGTAATGTGCTGTTGGGGGAGATTTCGGCATGGGTTTTCTTGGTTATTTTTGTTTGGTTGGTTTTGACAAATGCTTGTGGAAGAGTAACATTGTGTAGTTTTGACTTGAAATGTGGCTGGTCCCGGTCTTTCCTAGACAGCATAATGATGTGTGTATGGTGTTGTTTTCCCTTTCCTTTCTGCTCTCCAAACAGAAAACGTTCAGCAAAGCCAGGAGCCGTCATTGACTCTCTGCTGCAGTAGGTGTGACCTGTTCAGAATTGCTGTAAAAAATCAGTGAGTGTATAAGATTTGGTCAGAATATGGAATTCAAGAGATGGCACAGTTTGACATGGCTATAAAATCCATGCCTTGCTGGTATGGAGCTTTATTTTAAAAAAAAAGTATTTTTCCTTAGTTGCCTGTATTGTATGTTATATTAACATAATATTAAACTGGTATATATGATGGTTGTGAAATTCCATGTGTTAAACGTGTTGTGCAGGGAAACTTGTTGGTAATCCTTGTTGAAATGTATAGAAAATAAGGGTTCTAGATAATGTGCTTAAGTGCTAGACATGTTAGCTCAACACGGTTGATGAAATCCTAAAATTTAAGGCTGGTAAATCTGATTTATGCCCTGCTTTGCACATAACTGGCAGCTTTCACTATTGTCCTCTGTTGCACTGATCTGTGTTTGAATGTGGTTGCTGCAAACCTTTGAATTAAGAGCATCAAACCCTTTTATTTAAATATTCCTCGATGTGGCTATTAACCTGATCGTATTGTGTATCAAATACACAGTCCTCTTCCCTTCATTTGCTGTCTTGCTGTACAAAGAAAGTAGCTGGGTAGGGGAAACATGAACTACAAAGTCTGAGACTTCGGGGAAAGAAGTCACAGAAGCAACAGAAAACAAATGTGTCTAAGTAGTGCTTTTATTTTTGTCTATTTGTGTGTGATCTGCTGGCACTGTGGAGAGTGAGGCCTTTGATGCAAAGGCGAAAGAGCTTTTTTCCCCTCCTTTTAAGGCTGTGTTGCAGCATTGCTTTGACTGCTTCTTATGCTTCTGAGGTGGAATTTTTTAAATGTATGTGAATTGTTTTGTAATCTGAACAGCAGAGATTATTGAAGGGGAATGCTGTAATACTAGGACTTGTCTTCAGCCTTGGGACTGTGAGCATTATGGCTCCATTTTCTCATCCCTGGATACAAGGGCACTGGACCAGTGCTCTAAACTGGAGGTGAATTTGACTCTCCTATATTAAAACAGGCATGAATTTCCCAATTTTCCCAGAATGGTAACATCCCCTGAAATAGCTGATGCTGTTTGTGTTCCTGTGTAGATTGTATCATCTCGGGTTTCTGGCTATGCTCTAAGAGGAAAAAAATTCTGGTCTCTGATAACCATTTATTTGTGGTGGCTGCTCTTTTTCTTTGATATTTATGCTGCTAATAGACACATATCACTTTAATACGTTGCTTTTGTGTCACAGAGAAAACGCATCTCCTCTGGATTGTGTGTGCTTTGTAACTCATGCTGGAGCACGTCGGCTGCAGGTATCTCAACAGTTCCCATGCCAGGGCGGTGGTAATTAGCTGTAACTTCCATGTAACCTTAGTGTTACCTAGAGGATTAAAAAGCTGTGATTGCTCAAAGGAGAAATGGAGTCCTGAAGCATGACAGAAAGAACAAGATAGCTCCTTAGGTGTCCTGAGTTCTTGCTAGTAGCCACGTTTGCAATAACCAGAATGTTCTTGTGAAGTACTTCAGAGTAGTTAAATGTTGATATCCCTTTCTTACTGTCGTGATGCTTAACTGGATGTACCTTGTGACTCGAACAGGATCTGTAATAGTTAAAACTGGTCTTGTAAGGGCATGTTTTGCTCTGGAGATATACTCAGTGATATTCTAAATGGGTTGTAAGCTTTTCCCTGTTTTTTTTAATGTGTTTTTTAGGATCATGACCTAGGAGAAGAGCATACTGCCCTCTGTTTTGGGGGGGAGGGAGTGTCACCTAAGTTCGTACAAGATACAAATCCAAACACTGGCATTTGTTTTCTCTAGCCTAGCATTTAGAGGTAAATACTCAGAACTCTTGTCTGATCTAAGCTGTAGTTGGTTTTGCCCTTGAAGAGCTGACCTTACTTTGAATGTGCTTGGATAGCGTTGGGTTATCTCGTGTTACACACTCCTCATCAAACAAGGCAGACTGAAAATGGCTTAAATGCTCTTTTTGTCTTAGGCCTTATGTCAGTTCTCAGTCTCCAAGCAGATAGCTGCATAATTTTGGCCTGTACTAGTTCTCAGAACCAGGGATAAATACCGTGTTTCCCTTTGTGTTACGTCATGTGCTAAGATTTGTTGAGTGATCTGTTTTTAAGGGAGTTTCTCCTGAACTGTGCTTTCAAAAAGACCATTGAAAATTCTTTTACCTGACAGACATCAGTGGCTTAAAGATACTACTGTGAACCATGACACTGCGTTTAAAATATTTAAAACTTAACTATAAAGGCATATGCTTTGTGATTTAATGTTACAGTCCTGCTGCTGGAAACAATAGTATTCTACATATTTAAGTGAGCCTTGGGGTGGAGAAAACACTTAATAAATAACTGCTTGCACACCTTTGTAATTGGCAGATTGGAGAAACGGGCTGTAATCTCCTGTTACAGGGGCTGGGGGAACAAATTATCTGTTCTTACAAGAGGACTTTGTTTTAAGTGGAACACTATCATGGTCATGATGTTCTGTCAGCTTGGCTTACCTTTTAACTGGTGTGTTCTGTTGAAGTTCTGGGAACTTTCTTTTAAAACCAGGGAGTCTGGCTTGCAGGTTTACCATGTGGGCCCTCTCTGTAGCCCTGGACAACCTGTGAATGTCTGATGGGTCCACAACGTGTTTTAATGAGGAAGGGGTTTGGTTTGTGTGGGTTTAAGAGCTTAATACAGCCATTCTCATCCCAGGTCAGGATGTGCTCTATAGTATTTATCAGAAGTCATATTACCGTAATATATATATTGTGCGTGCTCATCTTTGCATCTTGCTGCCAGAAGAGTCCCCTCACTCCAGAACATAGACCTTAACATTGAGGGTTTTGATGCTTTATGTTGTTTAATGCTGTGTAAATGAATTATTTCGTATTTAACTTGTTCCTGATCCTTTCTTTAAGAGGAGGGGAAAATGGTCCTTAGTGCCTTTCACCGACTTACACTGTCTGCACATGTCCAGCTTTCACCTCTCTCGGCAGTTCTGCTTAGCCAGTCCTGTATAGTCTGATTGTATAATTTGTCTTCCTATTTATTGGTTTTCTAACTCTGTTTATTTCTGATTATTCTTTGTTTTATGATTAAACTTTATTCATTACACTGTATATATCAGTATTGTGTCCCTGGAGCATGTTCATACCATGAAATAAAATTCTTGATTCCTAGTTCCACCTCTGTGCATGTTTTTCAGATAACATACAGCATCTTTCTAACTCAGTTGAGTCAGAAGATACGTCAGGAAGGGTAGCTAAAATAGGCTGTGTAGCTCTGTGATACAAAGCGCTTACTGGAGAAGTTAGAAGTGAGTCTGGGGTGCGTGGGGACCCTCATTGCCAAGCCCCAGGGCAGCGGGCAACAAGCTCCTGCGGAAGAGGTAGGCAGGGCGGAAGAAGAGGATACTTTGGAAGACTCCGGGGAAGATCAGTGGGATGGGGCCTGTACGCAGATCACGGGATGTGCCCCAGCGAGCTGAGGAGCCCCTTGTTCAAGCCCGTCCTCCGCTGGGGTTGTCCTTCCTTAGTGCCTTTCACCGACTTACACTGTCTGCACATGTCCAGCTTTCACCTCTCTCGGCAGTTCTGCTTAGCCAGTCCTGTATAGTCTGATTGTATAATTTGTCTTCCTATTTATTGGTTTTCTAACTCTGTTTATTTCTGATTATTCTTTGTTTTATGATTAAACTTTATTCATTACACTGTATATATCAGTATTGTGTCCCTGGAGCATGTTCATACCATGAAATAAAATTCTTGATTCCTAGTTCCACCTCTGTGCATGTTTTTCAAATAACATACAGCATCTTTCTAACTCAGTTGAGTCAGAAGATACGTCAGGAAGGGTAGCTAAAATAGGCTGTGTAGCTCTGTGATACAAAGCGCTTACTGGAGAAGTTAGAGAAGTGAGTCTGGGGTGCGTAGGGACCCTCATTGCCAAGCCCCAGGGCAGCGGGCGACAAGCTCCTGCGGAAGAGGTAGGCAGGGCGGAAGAAGAGGATACTTTGGAAGACTCCGGGGAAGATCAGTGGGATGGGGCCGGTACGCAGATCACGGGATGTGCCCCAGCGAGCTGAGGAGCCCCTTGTTCAAGCCCGTCCTCCGCTGGGGTTGTCCTGAGCTGCCCTTGGGGAAGAGGAGAGCCCAGCTGAGCCAGGGCACTGCAAGAGCAGCTGCTTGTCCGCTGAAATAGTCGGTGCCGTGTGTGTTCTGCCTCTTCTTGCCTGTGTGCACTGCATAGGTGGTACAGCTGGTGGGGAGAAGGCTTTTCACCCTGTTCTGGCTTTAAGTGTCCTTGTGCTTCATGGCAAGCCTGTCACACCCTGTATTCGTGCAGATGGTGTGAGTTTACCTGCAGTACTTGGAAATGTTCAGCTCTGTTTCCTTTGCTGCATGAACTGTATTGGTCTGCAGTGCATTTCTTCCTCTGGAAGACATTTCAGCCTGCTCATGCAGTAGGTAACAGGTTTTTTGTGGTCTGCTAACTCTGCAGCTCCCCTGAGTACTCTGACTCAGTTGATGCGCGAACCAAACCCTGCACAGTCCTGGGACTTTCCAAAGTGCTCTCCCACGCTGTGCCAAAGTTGCAAAATGGTAGACACCTAAATACCTGCAAGACTCCGGTCCCCTGTTGCTAGAAAGGCTTTAAGCACCACCCAGGTCTGCTGCAGGCTGGAGTCATCCCTTCCACAGTGAGGTTTTGCTCCCTGTTGCTATTTCTTTCACTGCTGTTGCTGCTGGAGCCTCTTTACTCCCGGGCTACGAAGGGCTATGCCATATATAAATGGCATATATAAAAACATATGGTTATAATAAGCTATAAGTAGACTAAGGTGAGGGGAGAGCTAAGGGCCTGCTTCCCTGTGGACCTGGCATCTCTCTTTGCAGCTCTAGCACACACTTCTGAGTTCACAGCTTCCAGAAGCAGGCCCTGTCTGTGGCCTGTCTTCTCCAATGTGGCTTCCCTTGGGCTTTTTCCTCTGCTCAGACCCACTTTCCTTGTGTTAGTACAAGCCTTAACCCCACAGCAGGACAAGGTCTTTGTTTTGGTGACTCTAGCCAGCACCACCCTTGCGCCAGTGGATTCTGGACTCTGTTCACTGTAGCCCCATGTATTTCTTGCAACTTACATGGCAAAGTAACAAAAATGACTTTTGACTTCACTGTTTTTAAACCCCTTTATTTCTAAAGCCCCTGTTCCATCTAGGAACCTCTTGCTGCTCAGCTCTCTGGAGTCAGCGCTGCCCCTCTGTGCCCTGGTTTCCAACCCAGTCACAAACTTGCCCCTTTCCAGCAACGTGGGTAGAAAATCCCCGTCCTTTCTTCCCTGCTCTGCAGTTTCCCTCTGTTGCCATCAGCCTGGTCCCTGTTGCTTCTGGACAGGCCTTGGTGCTCTGTCCCAGCCGTGGCCTCCTCTTGGGCCCCTCGGCATTTCTGCTGGGGGTGGTGGGAGGGGGCTGAGCGGGTCTCTCCGGGAGCTGTGGGGCTCCTTGGCTCTCGGGTGCTGCGAGCCAGGTCCTGCAGCCCAGGGCCTCATGCTCCAGCTGGCACCTTTGAGCTCTCAAACGTGGTCTCCAGTTTCTGGCCAAGAAACATCTTATGCAATACCAGAAAATTTAGTCCAAAAATACATTTATTTAAAGAATTATTATAAATAATCTTTGAAAAATACAGTGTCATAGTTTAAAAACAAGCAGAAACAAACTGTTCTTTCTCTTCAAACTCTAGTCTTTTACTAATCGTTGGAGGACTCTGCGTAAGTTCACTAGGAAATCATTCAGTGAAGTAGTGTTGCCTGCTGCCACGGGACACGGTGCCTGTAATAGGAAAAAATGGCCGTTAGGATGCTTGCAGGGGGAGGGATCTGGTTCTCCGGCCTGGTCTCGGCTGCTGATGGTGGTGCGGGAGAGGACTGGGTGACAGCGAAAACGGTGACCGAGAGAGAAGCTGGACGTGCAGAAAGCTTGAGGGCTCAGGGCTGTAGGGCCCTGGCACGGCCGGTGCCGCGGGGGCGGTGGGCTGTGAGCGGCGGGCAGCGAGGGGAGAGCCTTGCCTCACCTTGTGGACTGTGCTTTTCCTTCGGACGAGACTGAGCAGGTTGAGGTAAACGCCCTCCAGGTGCCTGTGGCAGCTCCGGCCCTCCCAAGCGACTGTGGTGGCTTTGCATAGGATCTCCATATCGTTTTCTTTCTGGAAGAAGACGCACGTGGCTTTTTTAGAAACCCTTTTGTACAGTCACGGCTTCATTAGCAGCGGATTAAAGCAGGGCAAATAATAAATTTCTGTTCTAAATGGCAGGTGCAAAGTACAGCTTGAGATGTCAAAGCCCGCCCTGGAGCTTCCCAGACGCGCGTGTGCACACGCGGGCCTGTTCCCGTCCCCGGCGAGGAGGGTGCTGTCAGCCGCTGGCGAGAAGTCGTGGCGGAGTTTGGCGCAGCAGTGAGGACCCACACGCTTAGAGCATCGTGCTGCCGGCACGGGCGCCAACGTGGGACCCTGTGCTCGGGGAGCTGCTCCCCGTGGGGTCCCGCGGGAATGAAGCTGGTTTGGGTGGGCAGAGGCTCTATGGGAATAACAAAAGCCCTCGGGAAGAGGTTGTCGCTGTCAGGTGCTTTGAGTAGATAAAGCCCTGTAGCAGCAACACGTGGAAGATGAGGAGCTGGTAAGTGAAGTGCTGGCAGCAATAAGGAAACTATTCAGTTGCCTTCCCTGGGGGACATTCCCGACGCTGCCTCGCTGCAGCAGCACGGGCAGGTTGCCGAGAGCCCTGCCCGCGCTGCGCTCCTCAGCTTTCACCCAAATGGCACCACCAAATAAGCAACCGGCCCCGCCCTGTGATGGGCACGGCCAGATCTGCGGACATCGGGTCGTGAGGCATCCCAGGCA